CTGTTTCGAAACCTCTCTATCTTTACTGCCTGCTGTGAGCGCACCATTTATGTCTTCACGTAACTGTTTATGTCGTCATCATAACCTCTTCGAGAGTAAAAACTTTCCTATGACGAGAACTTGCTAAAATACATCTTAAATTAGTCTTTGGGAAACGTTCTAGCTTATTAAAAATAAATCTTTCCTTAACAAAAGTAAGACCAGAGACAACTTCCATACCCTAAATTGATAAAAAGCGAGTGACGGCGCCGCCTTCCACATTTTTACTTCCTTACGCGCAGCCAAAGCTGCAGTGGCTGGTTCATTGTGGAACCAACATCGCTGGTGCCTCAGAGGAGGAGTTCAACTCGCTCGAACCGTCAGAATCTGCAGATGTTATTGTGAAACCAACATCGCTTGAGGCATCGAAGTATACCTCAGAAGAGGAGTCCGATTCCCTAGAACCAACAGAATCTGCAGATGTTAATGGGGAACCAACATCGCTTAGGGCGTCGAAGTATGTCTCAGAGGAGGAGTCCGATACGCTCGAATCATCAGGATCTGCAGATGTTATCAACGTATGATATTAGTGACTAGTAAAATCACAACCAAAGAGGTCGCTGTTATGATATCCTCATTTACCATGCGAGGTGTTTAATTTTCATCTTTTTATAAAATTAAAACGTAAAATCTCCAAATTAGCGTGCTGTGTTTAGAAATCACCGCATTTTCTAATTTCAGAGCTGGAACGGCAGAACGCGACATAATAAAAGGATCACGTAATTATAACAAAATGATTCCTTGAGCAGCGCCAAATTGGCTGTAAAGAGTCCCATATCCTAAAAGCGCGGTTTTATCACATTCCACACAAAATTTCCGTGAAAGCTTACTAATTCATTTTAACTTATTCGATACGAGGTGATAGTCAAACGCATTTGACTCAAGTATTATCAACAACTTTTGTTTGTGAACGTATTTCTTTTGCCGTTATCTTAATGCGTCTCAAAACAAGAATAACCCGTTAAACAATTTTAAAAGAAAATGAATAAATAAATAAATAAATCAAGGTGTTAAGAAAGTCTGTGCGACAGGAAAGGACTGAAGTTTTACAAGTCTATCTACGGTATCTTACCCGCCTGACAAACGAATGGATTTACGATGGCCATCGCCTTCTGTCGAAGAGAGTTAAGAAAAAAAGTTGGCACACAACGAAGTTAGGGTTAGAGAAAGATGATTTTAAGGTGTTTCTTAGCTTGACGCCAAGTCACAGAAAGTTAAAAGCGATTTATGACTCCAGCTTTTTAAGCGGTTTTTGAACTTCAGAACAATAACCTTGATTAGTTGTTTCTCCACCTTCGTTTAATTTAAGAATGCGTCGCATTGTTTTGCCCGCCTCCCTTCATTTACAAACGTTTAAGAAGGGAGTGTGACTACAACAAGAGGCACAGAAAAACATTTTCTTTTTTCAGCGACAGGGAAAAGTGAATAAATTGAGCCTTGTTTGTCTGTTAGAGTTCTTAACTTTGTGCAGGTTGTGCACAAAGCGCAGAATACATATCTGAAAAGTGAAATCACTCGAACGTAAAAAAAAGTGATGTCACTCTTTCCTTCTTCCCCGAAGTTTGACAACAACAGTGTTTTCTTTTCCCTGCACCAGTGGTTGAATAATGAAACACGCACGCACACAATTCAAAACAGAAAAAATTTTCAACTGCAGTCATTCCGTGTAGCATAACTGAAAACAAAACGCTAGTTATGACTATAGTTTTTAGTGAAACCTTTGGCGTACTTTGCTGTCTAATTCATTCATAGTTTCAGCGACTATAGAAGTGCTGTGAACGAGCTCCTTCGTTTCTATCTCTTATTTACGGATTGTAAAAGGTTATTTTCTGACATACGTAGTTTTATGGCGGTTTAAAGTTGAGTTGTTTAAAAATGGAACAACACCTGAAATCTCTTAATTGCTCCAGTCTACTCGAGACCGCTTGCCCGTAAAACATCAGCCAAAAAACAAATTAAGGATAATTTCACCATCGACTTATCTTGCTCCTGAAATGAAGTGAACTGATCAAGAGAGATTCTTTCTTGATTAAGCCAAACACATAAACCCGTCCACGCGACTTAAGAGTATCGTAGGACAATACTGTTTTCCTTGACAATTACTTACTAGCCCCCAGTTAGATGTCTGTTTTCTCAAGTAGACTACTGTAGGGAAAAATCTGTCATCACCTACAATTTCACGATGGGATTCGATTTTAGCAGCATGTATATTACGCCAAAGCGGACAGAAGCATCCCTTGCGATGCTCAACAATAGGTCCATTTCCTTAAAGAATTCAAACCATAACAGTAGCCAAACTTTCGAGACATCGACATGAACTGGTGAAGTAAAACTGTCTTTTTTATGGCTTCATCGTGGAAATGGAGCCATTTTGACGCCATCGTTCTTTCTTGTCTAAATGTTCTACTCTTTTTCCGTTTGCTGAGACATTAAAGCTCTGGGGAAACTAGCTATCTCCCTGAGCATTGTCGAAGCTCGTTTTCAAAGTTCCTGCACGTTTTCTATTTTTTAAATGGTGGTCTAATCTCAGAAAATGAATCAAACACAACATTCTAATCGGGATGGCAGTTTGATCGTTTTAAGCAGCTACCATCTCTCAAAGCCACCTTTCCATTTTCCTCAAACTACAAAGTTTGCAACTGTCTAAACAAGACTGTTTTTAAATTCAAATATTTAAAGTCACCTGGAATCCTTACTGACCTACACACTGCATGATTGTACCTACAGTCGTTATCCATACTCTTTCGTTCGAAGTCTTTTCCCTAAAGCTGTCTCTTCCTTTTGCCTTTCAGGTGGTATTACACAAATCAGTTTTTTTTTTTCGCCTTTGAACATGAATTCATTCATTTTTGATTGATTCGTTTTTAATGCTTTACTTTTTTATTGCACTTTATTTTACTTTAAAACTAAAGACGACTGAGATTGATGTTAATTTTACTGTATCAATCACATGAGCCTAACGCAAGTGAAAGATCTACTCACGCTTTTTGCTGTTGCCAGACATCTCTCTCAGGTTAAAAGAGGAGTTAAAAAGTAAGGACCGATTTTATCTCACCTGCTGAAAAATGCAGCATTTTTCTTGTGCAGTATGGGGTATGCGCATATGGATGTCTTCTAGCCGCACCCTCACCAATACGTCTCTGTGGATTCTATTGAAACAATATTAAAATTGAGAAACAAGAATTGAATTTCCTTTCTTTTACTAGCGTAAGTTTGGAATTCGAATGATCTGCTCGGCTTCAACTGGTCGAAATGGAGAGACTGATCCAGATTCTGTAAAATTAAAATACTACGAGGCCACGTCCTTGACCTGAGTGCTTCTATGGAGCAAATTATCCACTCCCTTCAGTTTACATTTGTTTATTCAGGGGAAAGCGATCAAGGTTACAGATCAATCCTCTAAAGCAAGAGAACAGATGCCTTTTTGAAGAGAACAGATTTCATATTATAATTATCTATACAGTACAATTTGTTACGTAAAATATGGGTTGTTTATCTTACCTACAGCTCCCACTATTTTCGCACTGAAATGGATTAACATCGAAAAGTGTACCATGGCTGTCGCAACATATCTGGCTATTTTTATCGATCTGAAAAGGATGAAAGAAACTGAGATACAATGAAGTTCTGCGCACAGGAAACAAAGCCATTATTTAGTAAAATTAGCTGATATCAGCCAGCTGCATTCCTTTGCTAATGTTAACTAAAAGTCAAAGTAAAGAATGAACAATAGAATTAATCTCTTAAACAAATTAATGTCTTACTTCTTGAACGAGATAGCAGATAGTGCATTCTGTGAGTGTTGCATTAGTTGCACTCGCCTGATTCTCACTGCAATCAGACTCGCGGCAGCAATGGCAAGGGAAGAACTTTTAAAGACCGAAATATAGAAAAGAAAACGAGCCAAAACGGCCGGAACACAGGACACTAAGAACTGTAGTACGATCGAATCAGCGCGCGTGGCGCAATCTCCCAGCGTTAGCCTTGCTATTTGGGAGTTCAACTTCCAAGTACAAGTCCAAGTCCAGCCGTTTGGCTTTTGAAATTCGTTTTTTGGCCCCATGTTTGTATTGGAATTCAGAGAATACACGTGTGTACTTTTCAAATTCTTTATTCTCCATTGTTCCTAATCTTTTCATCATACTGCCGAACTGAGCGATTTGTTCCGGGGGATTAACAACTATTTTCTTGACTGTCTCGATCGTTACATTGTCTTGATTGCTTTCAGCTTGCGCCGCGCGCGCTGATTCAATCGTACTACAGTTCTTAGTGTCCAGTGTTCCGGCCGTTTTGGCTCGTTTTCTTTTCTGTATTTCGGTCTTTAAACGACCGATTTCACGTTCATGGAAGCACATGATCGCCTTTACTGTTTCTTGCTCCGCGTTGTTACGGATTTGCTTAATCTCTTTTTTGAAATCCTCGTCCGCTCTTATTTTGGCCCTCACCCTATATTTCAGGGATTCTGGGCAAGTTCCTTTTTCTTTGTGCCTTTGTTGCGCCTTGATCGCTTTGTTGTTCAGGTCTTTTCCCGCTAGGCATTTGGTACGCAGAGATTTGTTCGTCATCCTCGGACTTACCGAGTAGATCATTTTCGGTGGCGGTGTCATATGCGGCTTCCGTGTTTTCTTCGTTCTCAATGCCATTGTTTTAGCCCGGGGCGTTTAGTAGCCCATCTGCCGTTAGAATGTCTTCCAACATTTTCTGTAGGTGGTCAGGCAAGACCGCGGTTTCGATCCTAATCTTGTGGATCTCTTCAGTTGCCGATTCACTGAATAGACTGATAGAGATTCGTTCGGTTTTACGAGCACCAAATAAGAACAAGAAAGACCATTGCGTTTTTCTCTCTTTTTTTTATGTCTATCTTCTCAAGTGTTGGTACGAGTTTATTTTTCTATCAATTCTGTTATTCAAATATCTTCAACCTAGTATTCGTTTNAACACGTGATCAAAAAAGCAAAACGTTGTTGAGTGATTTGTAAGTTTATTGGAAGAAGGAAAGTGAATGCACGTTCTTACAGAGCAGTCTAGCTAACTGATTAAATGCTCCAACAACTTTCTCTGCTAAATAGCATTCATGCAAAACCACAGGTTACTGTGAATAATTGTCTTTTCTTGTTATCCATTCAGCCTCCGGTGGCGACACTAAGTTAGAACGTTATAGGGTAACCCAAAAGAGGTTTTCAGCCTTAAACCATGTACAATAAAAAAAGACAAATACTAGCTAACTAAAAAAGACAATTCGGGTAGCGATCGTAAATGTGTTTCTTCTCGAAACGAAATTTCACCAACGCTCTTTTAAAACCTTCTTTGATACATAGTAAAATCATGATAGCATCCCTAACTTGAACTCATGCTACTATTATACCGAAACTGAAACGCCAAATAATGCTAACGATTACTACACTGACAGATACGTTGCGTATTCATCGAGTAAGTGTGCGTGCACTTTCAAGGCTACTCAATCATTTTCAGTCAAGCCGGGTAACACATTTCCTAATTACTCACGCGACTCTTTAGTTGTGTCTGAAATATCTAGTAAAGCCTTCGATTCTTTTTTACCACGCGCGGTCTACATGCAGATACTTTTGCTATAAAAAAAGTTGTACTAAAAATGGGCGCACCTAAAATTTGTTCTTCTTCGAACGAAATTTCACTCACGCTTTTCATTAGGTTTACCTAGGGTTTGCGTCTATTTTGAGGTTATTTGTCTATTTACCTTGCCGGGTAATACACCCTTTAATTACTGGTAAAATATTGATAGCGTTCCTAAAATGGTTCTTCTCAAACAAAATTGTACTCACGCAATTCTTATACGGTTATTGAAACGCCGAATAAAGCCATGCTGATTTTATAATGCATACCGTGCTTAGAGAGTAACTGCCGAATAAATATATTTCAGCAAATACAAAATGCGCTCATAAAATTTGTTCCTTCTTAAAACGAAATTCCATTCACGCCATCTTGCCGCGCGCAGTCTAGATGAAGAATAGTTTGCTGAAAAATTAGTTGTGCTAAAAATCAGAGTACATAAAATTTGTTCCTCCTTAAAACGAAATCCCATTCACGCTATCGTACCACACACAGTCTAGATACAGAATGGTTTTGCTGAAAAATTAGTTGTACTAAAAATCAGCGCTCATAAAATTTGTTCCTTCTCAAAACGAAATTTCATTCACGCTATCGTACCACGCACAGTCTAGATACAGAATGGTTTTGCTGATAAATTGGTAGTACTAAAAATCAGCGCTCATAAAATTTGTCCCTTCTTAAAACGAAATTTCATTCACGTTATCATACCCCGCAGTCTAGATATAAAATGGTTTTGCACAAAAATTAGTTGTACTAAAAATAAGCGCTCCTAAAATTTGTTCCTTCTCAAATCGAAATTTCATTCACGCTATCGCACCATGCACAGTCTATATACAGAATGGTTTTGCTAAAAAATTAGGTACTGAAAATCAGCGCTCATAAAATTTGTTCCTTCTCAAAACGAAATTTCACATACGCTTTTCATAAAAGTTTTCCTATACTTTGCGTCTATTTTGAGGCTATTTGTTTATTTATCATTCCGGGTAATAAACTGTTTAAAAACTAGTAATATGATGATAGCGTTCATATAATAGCTCTTCTCAAACAAAATTGAACTCAGGCAATTCTTATACGGTGACTGAAACGTCGAACAAAGCCTTCGATTACTTATTACCGTGCTTATTACGTTCCGCGCTTAGAGAGTAACGCTGCCGAAAAAATACATTTTGGCGAATTCAAAAAGCGCTCATGAAATTTGTTCCTTCTTAAAACGAAATTTCACTCATGCTTTTCATTAAAGTTTACCAATGCTTTGCGTCTATTTTGAGGCTGTTTGTCAATTTTTCATGCTGGTTAATATACTGTTTAATTACTAGTAATATAATGATAGCGTTCATAGAATGGTTTTTCCCAAACAAAATGGAACTCACGCAATTCTTATATGGGTACTGGAACGCCTAGTAAAGCCAACGATTACTTATTGTCACGCTGTTTTATACGTTCTGTGGTTGGAGAGTAACATTGCTGATAAAATATCAAAATACATAATAGAAAAAGTGCTCATAAAATTTTTTCCTTCTTAAAACAAAATTTTCATTCATGTGATCTTGAACGGGTACCTTTATATTGCGTTTATTGGAGACTACCCAGTTTTAATCACGTTGTGTGATGCGCTTCTTTCTCGTTGAAATTTTTTTTTCCTCCTGAAAACGAAATTTGTCCCTTAGGAGGTCACCTATACATCAAGTTAAGCTTAAGTCGCTTCATGCTGACTCCCTTTTTTTCATTACTTCTAAAATACAACGTCCTCATTGACTACCCTGATAACTATGATCCCATACTTATGATGTAGCTTCTTGTAGGTTTCAAACTGACTTCACTGACAAAGGAGAAATCTTCCTTGTTCTAAATAACTCAAGCATGATGTTCTCGCTTTAGAATACAATCGTTTACCTTTAAAAGTACCTGCCTTGACTGGCACTGGTCTTTAAACTCAAAGCATGTCTCAACCGAGTTTTCTAATGAACTTGAATTGAACCTCAGCCGAACAAACAGTTTGTCGTTATAACAGTTTGTCGCTGTAATTTTCATCCTCTGCAAGAATCAGTCATTTTGCTTTGCATTCTCGGTTGACAAATCTTAATCTAATTACAGTATCTGTAAAATCCATTCTTGAGCACTGCTAACTGCAGAAAAAGAACAAGAAATGATTAAAGCAGGCGTATGACATCAAAGATAGTGTTTAAACGTTCCATCACATAGTATTTGGTTAGGTGTGTCCCGAGAGCAGGCCCGCAGTATATCCCTATTTTGTTCTTGCTTTCTTTTCGGATTTAATTTTTCTTTTTTCTTTTCCATTAAATATTTCCATTCTTAGTTCTTCAGGTCTTACATGACACTTACGACCGCCTCCCGGTTAGCTCAGTTGGTTAGGGCGCCGGACTGTTGTGCGGGAGGTCAAGAGTTCGAGCCCCGGCCGGATCAACACTCATGGTCTTAAAATAACTGAGGAGAATGTGCTACCTTTCTAACATCAAGAAATGAATAGACATTGTAGTCTTCTCGGATAAGGACGAATAAACCGTAGGTCCCGTCTTCCGCATCTATTAATTAGGTAATTTGGTAAGGCAGGGGACGTTACAGAACCCACTCACGAGATTACTGTGATGTGATCTGGCCTGTTTACTGGGCCCCCAGTAATCGGCGCGAGCTGTTGCGGAGTCCCTGCCCGTCGGCGAAGCTAATAAATTAAATTAATTACTTAGTAAAACAAAAGAGCACTAGAGGCCGTAACACCAACAACAAAACCCTGCTATAATATTGAGGAGGTCCAACTAGTACAAAAAATTGCTAGTTGTGAACTTACTAGGAAATTAATCCTTGTAGTATGTGTATAACAGCTCATATGGACTTGTCTTCTCCTATACAGCTGCACAATGTTTTCTCGAAATCATTCGGTGACTCCAAAACAGTCTGGTTTATCATGATAAAGAGGTGACGATACTTAGACGGCTTAGACTGAGCTAATGTTTGTTTGTTTGTTTTTCATCCGTTACATATTTGTTTGCTAGTTTTGGTTTCTTGCCTATAATTTTAGCTAGTCACATATTTGCGTTTTATTTCTTTTTTATCAAGGATCTCTACTTGTACGAATGTATAATCGTTCCTTTATACCCCCTGGTTTAAAAAGCTGTTAACTGGTGAAAAATAGCTCAAGTATCAATGAAGCTACATCCAATCTAAAAAAAAAAAAAAATGAATGGATGCTTAACATCAGCAAAGCAAAGTAGTTTTCATCGTTTAAGCGGTTCCTTGCAGTAGCTTCAACCCCGAGGGTGAGGGAAAGGAATTATTTGAATTTAGACCGACTTTGTCCAACTAAACTTTACCTAAACTCAAGAAGTTATTATTGAATTATAAATCGCTAGATTTCCAACAACTTTAGTGTTTGATATATTCTGAAAATTTACCATGCAACGAATCATTAAAATCAGATCGTTCAGAGTCTCGCTTCAAACTTTTTATCGTCATTTCTAAAGCTGAGTAATTTTTGCTAAAGAAAACATGATTGGTTAAAAAGGTTTCTTATTGAGTACTGTTTTGGAGTTGACCGAATAGCGGATGGCGGCAAATTGGACATTTGCGGCTGTGGAGAAAAAAATAATCATCATTGGTCAGAAATGCTGCGTAGTTTTTAATTCTTCTACACCGCTGGCACAGCTAAGCTAACTAATGAAGCAGCAAGACAGTTCTCAAAGGCAAGACTCCAGAGATAGTTGGTCTTTTTAGTGCGTGTATGCCCATAAGGCCTTAGCTAGAGAACGTCATTGATTTCTGTCGGTTGCCAGTCGGTCAAACTGCCCCCATGTGCAGCCAGACTCGAGAGATACAACACTGAGATTTGAGAATCATTGCTGAGCGCTTTTCCTATGCAGCATAGTCAGTCCATGCCAAAATTATCACAATGAATCGTTCTTGAGCTTCGTCGGGGGTTAAAAAAAGCTGTTGACTAAGTCTCAATTAAATTTGATCTCGCATATGATTGGTTCAGAGGCCAAGACAACCCTTTCCATACTCATCCGAAAATTGCTGTTTTTTCTTGAATTTGGTCAATTAACTCGGGCAAGAATTTGAAAGCACAGAGGCAGGCAAGCAAATAAATTAATTTTCATTACAGAGCTCGAGAAAATGGACGAGGATGAAAAATGTAACGTTCGCAAACAGTAAATTCGTCAATTATGACACGACAAGCCATCAGAGAAAAGTAGAGTGTATTTCATGAGGTGTGTGACGTTTCAGAGAATACTTACACGCCGTTTTGTATCATTGCAATGGCACAGTCCTTGTGGACCTTGTGAGAGCAAGGGAGAATTTGACACCCACTAAAGGCGTCCTGTGACAAGTGCAAAGGAAAAAATGTATCAATATAGGTTTAATAACTGCTTTGTTTGTATAGTAAATTTAGATTGCATTCCAGATATACTGGTGTATTGTAATTCTTCCAAAAAGAAAAGGATGAGAGTTTGACACCGATCCGTAACAGTCAATTCCTTTTCGTGAACTGTACAAAAACTTTCAATTTTCTCAAGCTTCACAAACAAGGCCCGAAAAAAGGTAGTCTATTGGCTAACTAAAGCTTATATGAATGATTGTTTGGGCCCTAATCGAGCTTTGGAAAAATTCTTAAATATTTTGGGACATATAATACGTATTTAAAATTTAAATAGAAAATACAAGGGCAAGTGGCTTCAGGTCGAGCGTCCACAAAAAAATCATTTCGAACACACTAGTTAACATTCCTGACACTAAGGGTGGTAATTTATCTAACGAGCAAAAATACCGAGATGTCTCACCTCTAGACAAATACAGCATTCATCGTGTCCAGAATCGGGCCTGCACTTATGTTTTCCTTCGAGACGTTTGTCAAGGCATACGTTACAAACATCACAATGGAACGATCGGTCTTTATGGATTCTGTAGAAGCATTCAAAATAAGCAATAGAGAGTCGAATTTGTTACTTTTATTCGCGCACTTTTCCACACGGCCTAAACTGGTAAACAAGACAAAACCCTATCCAGATTACTGTAAGATGCAGATGTGATTCTTCTCAACCTCTCGAATGAAATGCTACTAGGTAGCAAAGTATCAGCGTCAGTACACTTCTAAATACAAAACAACCGGTTGAGGCGATACTCCAATCGTCTTAAGTCAGAGAAAGAATGATATTTTATACAGATACAATATCCTCCAGATCTCAATTTTCAAGTGCACAAGTCATCAAAAAATCGGTTTCATCATCTTACCTACAGATACCGCATTTTTCGCAGTGGAACGGATTTTTATCGACGGACGTGTAATGGCGACATGTTGAGCAGAAATATTCAGACATGATCGCATTGCAGCCGCCACATCTCTGGCCATTTTCGTCGATCTGAAGAGAATAAAGGAAACAAGGATGCAAAAGTGTCTTTTTTTGTTCGGGACATCAGTTGTTCTTTTATGAGATTAGCTTATGCCAAGGTATTATTGTCCTGGCTACCTTATCTTAACAAGAGAGCAAAGGTAAACGATCATAAACATCTTACCTCTTGTTCGTGATAGCAGATAGTGCACCGTATGTGTGTGGCATTAATTGCTCTCGCCTGATCCTCACTACAATCTGACTCGTTGTGACAGCGGTGGCAAGGGAAGAATTTTCCACAGCAGGGGAACCGAACCAAGCATCGGCGTTGATAATGACTGCAAACAGGGCGCGGACTTTCTTGTACAGGTGTCGCCATGGGTTGCCGCTCAGCTTCTACGGTCGTCTCATTTGATGGGATAGATTCCCCTCGACTGTTCGTCGCGTGAAAGCTTTGTGTAACGGCTGATTCCCCTTCTCCCATATCACCCGTTTCTTCTACGCCTGTATTTTCGACTGACTGGTTTGCATATTCAGTTTCCCTCGCGCGCGTAGCATTTGAGACAACAATTCGGATGGTCTTGGCCATAATCTCTTGAAGATATCCAAGACTAGAGGCCAAAGAATACTCGCTTACTCTCATTGGTAGTGACTGTTCACATTCGTCCCTACCCACACCACTGGAGTATTCATTTGCCATTGAATCCATGTCATTGTAAGCACACACCGATCCACACACACTGAACAGTTTCTCTCGGTTAGCATCAAAGGATTTTGGAAGCGATGTTGGATTTGACTCGTTTGTTCTCTCGGAAAAGCATTCACTTTGCAGCACCGTATCTTCACAGGACTCTGAGGATGGGAAATGCCAGCTTTCTTTTTCGTCTCCGTTAGGTGGCGATACATGATGAACACTAAAGTTTTTGATTACTGAGGCGTTATTTACAGGAACACCCTTATCACATCTATTGGCTATATCGTGTGAAATGAACTCGTCCTTGTCGTATGAATTCTGACCTTTGGCTTTAAAGAATTGATCATGAGCATTAGATACAAAGTAGTCCTGTTCGTAATCTTCCTCCCACGGACCGTCTAATGAAGCACGATTATAGTTGCCACCGTTGTGAAACGAAAGAAATGGGCTACTCTCTTTAACGTGGCGTGCCATAAAGACAGGATCTAGGCCCGTATTTATGATTTCGAGGTCATGGTGAGCTGACAGTGGATTTTTAACGATGGGCAACGGTAAGGGGCTTTTAGCATTATCTGTTAATCTCTGTTTAGGTCTTGCTCCTCCATCGCTTGAGTGAGATTGAAAGAGCTTACTCTCAGTTACAGGAGGATATCTATATTCGCAAACCGCATCTCTATCTGTATGTGACCCGTTTTCGTTACTTAAAGTTACACTTATGCACTTTAGGTTGGTTTTTAACTTCTCGCCGGCATGAAATTCTTTGTGAGGATTTTGTGTGAGTGCTGGTCCATCCACAGTATCAACGTTATTGAGATTGTTGTCACGGCTTTCACCGTCAGCAACAACATCGCCCATATAAGACATCGATCTGGAGGTAGTTTCATGGCGGTTTGAGAAGGTGGCTTGTGACTTAAAATGTATCTGCCCATAAAGATCGATTGGGACTACTTTTCTTAAGCTTTGGTTCAAAGATCGCGTTTCATTTTCCTCTCTTAAATTGGGCCCGTCCACCGAATCCTTCTCTCTTTGAAGATCTACCACGTTATTTTGACTTCTACTGGTATCCTTGTTCATGGTTCCGTTGGGTAAAACGTCTTTAATAAGTGGCTCGAATATTCTCTCTGTCGTCATATCATCAAAATCGGAACAAGAAGTACCTTGCTTTTCCAGTGTATCGGTTTCATTTTCTCTGATTTCGACCTTAATCCCCTTAATACCCTCCGATAAGTGGTGTTTTCCACTTTTCATTTTCCTTTGCTCTTCTTGGAGATAGCGTCTTTGTTGAAAATTTATTTTAGAGTCAGCCGAAACAGTTGAATCGGACCGGCTTTTGTCAACCCCCACAGCATCTTGCGCCTCGACGTTAGGTACGAAGGTTTCCCTGTTGGTTTCTTTGATGTTTTGATGTTTTGATGATTTGATGTTTTGTTCAGGACACGTATTTCCTTTCAAAAAGGTGAAACTCTCCTCATCATTAGGAACTGTTGAGGTGTATACTTTTTCTGGCGTCGTTCTAGGCAAACGGCTTCTTTCCTCCTCTAGAAGCTCGCACTTAGGTTGCATTGCGAGGTCATTGCGATCTTGTACATTAGTGATGGTAGTATCTTGTGTTAGTTGATTTACCACCAACGGTTTGTCGTCTGTCGTCTCTTTCTTGCCCACACGTGAACAAACTATTTGGTTATTTTCATAGGAGCCAATTTTCCCGGTAATGGCGGTTTTGCTTTGTGCTTGCGTTTCTGGACTACGGTGTTGAAGTTCCAATTTACTACAATCGCTACCATAATGTGTAGGGCTTGAATGCAGCGTTGGCAAATGACTTCCATCTGCACTGTCTGAACGAACTGAATTCCCTTCGGTACAGTTGAGTTGCTTTTTCCTCAATTTTTCGTGAATGTCAGTGATAAAGGAAAGTCTTGATTTTCTATGATCTTCAAACAAACGTTTTCCCCTTAACATCTCATTACCGTCTTCAATAAGCATGGATTCCTCCTCATGGCTGCTCAGGCTTTCCCCAACAATGCTACAATCATTAGCTGTCAATGTAAGACATTCGCCATGGTAATTTACCTGTGGAGTCGCTGTCAAATGTTGAGAAGTAGTTGAAAACCTTTCTTGTTCTACTTGACTTTGGCAGTTAGTAGCTAAACATCTTGTTGCATTGACATTAGAACACATCAAACTCGACCCATCTTCCCTGGAATTGTATTCCTGATCTCCTACACTTTGATAGCAGGAGTCATAGGAACCGCTAGAGTCTTCATCAGAAGCTTCTTCGAGGATCTGTCGTGTTATCTCGCTGATTATTGTGAGACACTCTAGGGCACTGTCATCCGTGTAGGTTCTTGAAAGTTCTTGTTGGTCGTGTAATTTGGAATTGCCATTCTGAAATAAGATTATTTTAAACTCAGTGGAAGCAACACCCTAAATCCCCCTTTTAAATAAGCACACCTTTAATATACAAGGCCCTCCAAACAAAAAAAAACTTTTAATAAGAGCCCTCTCTCTTCCCGTTGAGTGATCACTTCAGCTGAACTAGTTGAAAGCCGATTTTAATGGACAGATTTGCACATTTACACCTTTCTCTAATTATGTTGGAAACACGTTCGGTTTTACAAATGAATCCGAGCACCAAATAAGAACAAGAAAGACCATTTGCGTTTTTCTCTCTTTTTGCGGTCCATCTTCTCCAGTGTTGGCACGAGTTTATTTTTCAATCAATTCTGTTATTCAAATATCTTCAACCTAGTTTTTGTTTGAGTCAGTACTTATGGCTCATGGCTCTATTCAAAACTCTGTGTGCAACTTTAGTTCTACTGAGCCTTTAACATTGTGTGACACCTCGTGGGACACCGAAAATCAATCGCATCTCAAATCTGACCGCACAAACAAAAATTCTGTACAATTTCAATCGTGAGGGATTGTTCTTCAAAACCTTGTGGGGATATTTCGTTATTCTTATTGGTTGCTTTGCAGTTGATCTGATCTGTCAAGTTAGCTGATCAAAATTCTACCGTTACGCATGACGTCGGAGGCCACTGCGGGAGATCCATGAGACCGAATTCCCCCACACGGTTTTCTTAAGTTGGTATCTTGGAAGTTCAAGGTAATCCGTAAAGTTTACGTACCCTATTAATTCGCTTAAAGAAGGCACATTCGCGGATAAATGAAGTACGATATTTTTGCTTCTAAAGGTTTCCCTATAATTCACGCAGTTTAGGTGACCACATGTCAAGTTACGTCGACACTCTGAAAACCTCGAAATGCAAAACGCTGATAGAAGCAGAAGGGTCCAAAAGAGTCTTAAGGGAACTCTGAGCAAAAGCATATTTTGCGAGTAACTATTTAACAGTTACCCGTGACAGACGTATTGTTCAATTCTGCTGAATGGGAGTTTTGATTTCAACTCTTTTTTTTCAACTTGGAAGCGGCGCCACGGGAATACTTAATGGCTGCTGATCGAGTGTAGCTTTAAACGCAGAGACAGGGCAAAGATCTCCACGTGCCACAGAAATCAGGAGATGTTTACGCGATTGAAATTGAAGGACCAGGATGTGTTGCCGCAAGAAACCGTTAAGAAGTCTTAACGTTGTTTATAGTTGGCTATTCACAACTTGGCGGGCTAAAATACGAAATTACGTTTTGTAAATAACTCGAGCGCGTTTCAATATTTTACCAAATCTTTCAAAGAAACTATACGTATGATACACGATCCTCGCAGTAGATAGCGCTATTTAAGCAATAGCGAAAATCAGACCTGAATAAAATCAGGCCTGTACGGGATTCGAACCAGTGACCTCTGCGATACTAGTGCAGCGCTCTTACCAATTGAGCTAACCAGCCAACTGGGAGATAACAAGCCAACTTAACGGCCAGCGTCAGCTTTGCTATTTGGGAGTACAAGTTCCAAGTCCAAGTCCAGCCGTTTGGCTTTTGAAATTCGTTTTTTGGCCCCATGTTTGTATTGGGATTCAGAGAATACACGTGTGTACTTTTCAAATTCTTTATTCTCCATTGTTCCTTATATTTTCATCATACTGCCGAACTGAGCGATTTGTTCCTGGAGATTAACAACTATTTTCTTGACTGTCTCGATCGTTACATTGTCTTGATTGCTTTCAGTTTGCGCCGCGCGCGCTGATTCAATCGTACTACAGTTCCTAGTGTCCAGTGTTCCGGCCGTTTTGGCTCGTTTTTTTTTCTGTATTTCGGTCTTTAAACGACCGATTTCACGTTCATGGAAGCACATGATCGCCTTTACTGTTTCTTGCTCCGCGTTGTTACGGATTTGCTTAATCTCTTTTTTGAAATCCTCGTCCGCTCTTATTTTGGCCCTCACCCTATATTTCAGGGATTCTGGGCAAGTTCCTTTTTCTTTGTGCCTTTGTTGCGCCTTGATCGCTTTGTTGTTCAGGTCTTTTCCCGCTAGGCATTTGGTACGCAGAGATTTGTTCGTCATCCTCGGACTTACCGAGTAGATCATTTTCGGTGGCGGTGTCATATGCGGCTTCCGTGTTTTCTTCGTTCTCAATGCCATTGTTTTAGCCCGGGGCGTTTAGTAGCCCATCTGCCGTTAGAATGTCTTCCAACATTTTCTGTAGGTGGTCAGGCAAGACCGCGGTTTCGATCCTAATCTTGTGGATCTCTTCAGTTGCCGATTCACTGAATAGACTGATAGAGATTCGTTCGGTTTTACGAGCACCAAATAAGAACAAGAAAGACCATTGCGTTTTTCTCTCTTTTTTTTATGTCTATCTTCTCAAGTGTTGGTACGAGTTTATTTTTCTATCAATTCTGTTATTCAAATATCTTCAACCTAGTATTCGTTTGAATCAGTACTCAAGGCTCATGGCTCTATTCAAAACTCTATGTGTGCAACTTTAGTTCTACTGAGCCTTTAACACTGTGTGACACCTCGTGGGACACCGAAAATCAATCGCATCTCAAATCTGACCGCACAAATAAAAATTCTGTACAATTTCAATCGTAAGGGGTTGGTCTTCAAAACCTTGTGGGGATATTTCGATATTCTTATTGGTTGCTTTGCAATTGATCTGCCAAGTTAGCTGATCAAAATTCTACCGTTACGCATTACGTTGGAGGCCATTGCGAGAGATTCATAAGACCGAATTTCCCCCTCACGGTTTTCTTAAGTCGGTATCTTGGAAGTTCAAGGCAATCCGTAAAGTTTACATACCCTATTAATGCGTTCAAAGAAGGCACAGTCGCATGAAAATGAAGAACGATTTTTTGGCTTCCAAAGGTTTCCCAACAATTCACGCCGTTAAGGTGACCACATGTCAAGTTACGTCGACACTCTGAAAACCTCGAAATGCCAAACGCCAACAGAAGCAGAAGCGTCCAAAAGTCTTAGGGGATTCGGAGCAAAAACATATTTTGCGAGTAACTATCTAACAGTTACCCGTGACAGACTTATAGTTCAACTCTGCTGAACGGGAATTCTGATTTCAACTCTCTCTTTTTCAATTTGGAAGCGGCGCCACGGGAATACTTAATGGCTGCTGATCGAGTATAGCTTTAAACGCAGAGACAGGGCAAAGATCTCCACGTGCCACCGAGTTCAGGAGATGTTTACGCGATTGAAATTGAAGGACCAGAATGCTTTCCCGCAAGAAACTCTTAGGAAGTCTTTGCGTTGTTTATAATTGGCTAGTCACAACTTGGCGGGCTAAAATACCGAATTACCTTTTGAAACTAACTCGAGTACGTTTCAATATTTTACCAAATCTTTCAGAGAAACTATAGTTAAAGTAATTATGCCTAATTTGACATAAAAAAAAATTCCAAAAAATTGGCCCTCGAACGTCTACCGCATCCTTAACTTTGGGCTGCGCAGGAAATAAGCTCCTGCATCAAGATAAGCTGTCTTTGTCCGAAGCTCCTACAAAAAATGTCCTTTATCCAAGTTTTATTTCGACCGAGAAGCTGTTCCTTTAACGTTCAAAAAGATCATTTAGACGCAGCTACACTGTTTAAAGGAAGTTACCAGTTGTCATTCTTTAAGCGACGTAAAAAGTCACTCGTCGAGACATGGCCATAACGTTACTTATTTCCAGAGATTTCGGGATCTCTCACTCACTTCATGAATACCTCCTCTTCAGCAGAATAACAACGTACTGGGTTTTCATGGAAATCCGAATGATTGGAAATGGCTTCTATGAAATATCCCTTTAAAAGCAAATGGCAATTTACTTTTAATGGGATATCTTTGGAGGCTGTAGAATTGTCCGCTCCTGAACTGGTAGGCCGAACGTTCCAGCCCTTTTTTGAAATAAACTCTATCCAGCTCTTCTTTTTCTTCTATGGCTTCAACTTCTTAACAAAGAGCGCTAAATTTGTGTTCGTCTTCAGAGGGTAATAAGTACTAACTACAGCAGTTGAACACTAAGCAAACTCAAATTCTCAGAAAGAAACTGTGCGACACGTAAACTTTCGTCCTCGTTGCCTAAGACTAGCAGTAGAGCAGTGAAACATCGCTATCAATAAATTTGATGGTTTGACTCTACGTCGCGATAAAATACGATTGAACGTTGTAATTATCTAAAAAACTTTGTTAAGTTCACGTATCATGACAACCTGCCTCACGCATTTCTTGAAAACGGCAAGGATATAGTTTTATTTTGTTAACTTTCACGTACGCGAACTAGGGAGAGAATAGCAAAGACATTGGGATTGAGAGAAAGAATTGTACTCTCACAAAAAAAGGAAAAAAAAGTCCACAAATGATGATTCTCTAACTAGTACTTTTACTCACATCTTCCTCGCAGTGAAGTGGAGACGACTTTCCAGTTACTTGGCACTCGTCTATGAGACTGTCACTGTTACAACCAAGCGCGGTCAAGTCGTTTAAGGGGACCTCTGACAAAGTTGTCCTCTGGCTTGGTACCTGATATCGCTTTTCTGAGGGGTTAACGTCTGGCAAAACGCAAGCGTCAGTCAGAGAAGCCTGTCGCCTATTATTCGAGCATTCCAAGGGAATAGGTGATGCTTTGGCTGTGACGTGCTGAATTCTTTGTGTGAGCCCTTTATCGCTACGTGACAATGTCAGTCGTACCCTTTCAGGATCACGAACCGTCAAGGAAAGGTTGTCATTCAGTAGTACCATTGAAGACAGTTTTCCTGGGTCATTACGCCTGAGAAGACTGAGTGCAGTTTTGTTGAACAAAAAAGAGCTCGTTTGCTTATCTCCAAATGTCCTCTGTGTAACCCTCTGACGTATCGCTGTATCCATCTCAAAGATGGTCTCATTGTGAGCTATTTCATCGTTCGGATATGCTGATAAACATAGGGGCAATAGTTCGATTTGTTGGTAAGTTGACAAGATATCGTGATTACCGCATCTCGTTGTTGGGGTCAAATCAACGATAACTTGAGTTGCGCTGCCCTTGGCTTCACCTTCCAGACATTTCATTTGAAAACAATCTAGAACTGCAAGTGAGATCTTTTCCTTCGCGGCATTGAGGTCACCTATATCTAGAAGGACCGGTGATCTGCCAGTCACCAAGAAAGCATTTCTGGGTGCATTCTCCTTGTAAGCCAAGCTGCGGAATAGCTGTCCATCTGTGTCGGTAGATGAGGGTTCTGCGTTGGTTTCTTTCGGACCAATTTCAGATGAAATGAGGATGTCTTGAACTGCTGTCTCCCCATTACAGGTGATTACGACTTTTGAAGCATAGACTTGAATTCCATCGAGAAGCAAAAATGGAAAATCGGTTTCATTTTGAAAAAGTCTGGAGTATAAATCGTACGCTGCAAAGGTTGTTTCGATCATTTTCAGTTCTAAAGCGAACAAAAGAAGTAAGACCAGCACAAGCCTCATGTTTGGCTGAAAGTCAAACTTCATCGTCGATTCAACTGTTTGGGTTCTTTTGACGATACTTTGAGCACCACTTTCTTCTATGACATTGGTGAGGTCTTTCAGAAATTTTCTTAAACCATGGTCATGCTTCAGGAATCCGTGACCTCCAAACTTTTCCTTTAGGAATAAACTGTATAGGCGGGCGACACTCAGGCCAGGTTTACTGTGGATTACATGTACTCCACATTGCAACTCTGCTTGTCGGAAAAAGACGGCAGCTTCATTTGTCATTCCAAGACAGAGAAACTTTTGTCCACTCTTAATGAAATCGGATGAATATCTCAAAGAAACTATCGACTCTGAAACCTGTCCTTCCGTGTTCTTCACAGTGGTAAGTTTTCTATCGGCTCTGCATTCTGTTAAGTGACGGTTGCTGTGGTGATTTAATAAGAAGGCCACTGCCATCCCATACTCTGCAACTAGACCTTCTAGTCTATCTTCAGATGTACTCGGTCTTTGAAGGGTTTTGAAATCTCGAATCATTTCCAGGTACTTCATTGCCAACTCATTCACAAATGACACTTGGTAAATGCCCTCTATGTTCTCAGTGGCTCTTTGAAAGAAAAGGTGGGACTCTTCTTGATTAATTCTCCATTTCATATAACCAAGAGACATATAGCACTTGAGGAGGAGAGGATTCTTCTCGCCAAAGATTTTTCGCAGGATTTCGATGGAAAATTTGAACATTTTAGTGGCTTGAGAAACTTCTCCCATAAGACTCAAAATTTTGCCCTGTTTGCACAACAGGGAAGCAATGTTAAAATGGTCAGGTCCAAACACAATTTTCAGGATTTTCACAGATGTTTGTACGTGCTGAAGGGCAGCTTTCATCTTTCCTCTACGGACGAAGAGCTCTATTAACTTTTCAAGGGCCTCCAGTCCAACATTAAAGTAAAGATCTTCAAATCTGTTCACAATGTCCTCGAATGTTTTCAAGGTTTCAATACTGAACACTTCATTAGCCTCCTTGGATTTTCCGTGAAGTAGAAGCACTTCAGAAAGATGCAGATGAAGGAAATTTACAAGATATTCTGAGTCTTTTCTCTTCCTATCTTTACAATAGGTTATTAGCCATCTCAAAGCATGTTCTGCTCCGCTGAAGTTTTCAAGAGTAGTATGCAACACGGCTTGATTATTCATTACTGTGAATACCGTTTCAAATGCATATGGTAGATCCTTCATTTCTGTGGCTTCGCATTTCTCTACCAATTCCATTTGTAGCTCAAGGGCTCGACGATACTTTTTAAAATCCAGATTTAGGCGACTCATGTTGCTTTTTACGACAAAAACTTGTTTAGCGACTGAAGATCTGTTTGAGTTACCAAAGTACCCAAGTGAAGTTTCAAACGCTTTTTCTGCCTCCCGTAAATGGCCAAAAACCAGGAGAACACACCCCTTGTTGTTATGAGTAGCACCAAGGTCTTCCGATAGACTTGTAGTGCTTGACTGCCCATGAAGTTTGATCAGCAGGTCAAACGTTTTTTCGGCGATCTCAAACTCTGAAATCAGCAATGCAAATGCTGCCAAGACGTTCAGTAATCCGAAGTAAAGCGGTGCTCCACGCGTACTTGAATCCAGAAGTAAAGTTCCGTGTTTTATCGAGCAACTTACGCCCTCCTCCAGAAAGATTTCTCTTCCACGAAGTAGTACATGCAAGGCATACTTAGTCGAAAACTTAAACCATGCTTGATTTCTCGACATATTTTCGAAAAGCCGTTTTATAATTTTCCGGGCATTAACAATGTTGTCATTTTGGTGATAATCCATAGCCTTGTTCAGTTCTTGAACAGCACTGTTTAAAGCTTGCGAGGAAAATACCTTTTTTGGGTTCAATCGATCATGGTCGGCTAATTTAGCACGGGCCAGTTGTGACGGCATATCGTCATCCCTTCCGATGGCTTTCGTGCCACTTTGGGACTCGGTGATGGAATCATTTTGTGAGCAGTCAGCATCCCTTTTCTGTGCATGCGACCCACTTTCTTCGTTAGGATACAAGTTTACTGATCCTTGATTCTCTTTGGCTTGAGCCAAAAAAGTTGGGTTTTTCTCAGCCTTCCAGGTAGCTTCAACGTTATATGCTACTAATAAGTAATAGAGAAAAAATAAAAATGTTACTTGATACTGTCAAATAAAGCCTCTTTTGATTGAAAGCAATAGTGTACGCATCTTAACTGACTTGGAATGTGGATACACAAAGACGATACGCACGACGTCAGTTTTCATATTGTTAACTTAATGAACATAAAAGTGAGCAGCTCAAGCCCTAATTCACAAAGAGGAAAACCGGGTTCGTAATTATCACAGGAATTAGTTTCCTTTGAAACATATGCAGGTTATCCTCCTCATGTTCGTCACAATTTGTAGGAAATATAAATAATAAAACATAATTGATTTTATGAATTAGGTTTTATCAATCACTTCGCCCGATACTAAAATAGTTTTTACAAGAAACGTGTCCTTTCCTTTCGGGAAGAAAGATCATAAATTTTAGCATTAAAATGATATTTTGTCCAGCAGAAATGCTCGATGGAACTTACTTCTCTCCTAACATTATTAGAACACACAGATCAATTTTCTCTAGATTTTCAACATATGTGGCGAACATGAAGGCAACCGACTACTGCTTGATTCCTATCATTTAACTTGATAGGATCAAACGAATAAAAAACACCCTTTCCTCCCCTCTCCTTCTAGTTGCTTACTCCTCTCTCTAAAATAAGAAGGTAAATTCTGAAACTAGGACTCGGCATAATGGATACTAACCTCTTCTTGAGGAAGGTAGTATTCCCATAAATACATTTTGGAGACGATTGAACGAATTGACAACACGTGGGAAAGGCCTTGTTTTGCGAAATCTAATTTCCACCTGCGGATTGCTTACAAACTCCATAGGAGAAACGAGTTAAGGTTACCTGCAAAAGAAGAAATTATGAACTTCATGTTAACATTTAATTTCGTCGAAGGTAGCGAGCGTGACGGCAACTCCCCCAATAGACCGATGCAAGGTTAATGGTCGCCATTCTGCGGGGGCGCAAAAACATTGGGGCGAGCGCGCGGCCAACACATGGAGAATACATTAAAATGCGAAATCACGCTCGCTGTTCTGTTGGATTTTGCGACAATGATAAGCGTTCCCCTGACCTCTATACAGTACGAGCACATGTGGAGACACTCAAGTTTCATAAGTGGCCAATACAGCCAAAGTTAGCCGAGTTGTGGCTGAAACAAGTCCGCAAAAGTCGAAGCGATGATACCTTCAATCCACAGCCAGGCGCGCAAGGAACATTCGTCTGTTCAAATCATGTTCCTGAGGGCAAGAGGACGCCAGACAACCCGAAAACTGACTATCCATTATTGTTTCTAACAGTTAGTGACTTTTTGAAGAGAAATTCACCTAAAAAACGAAACGTTAGAGAGTGGGAGACAAGCGAAGATGAGCGCGAAGATAACACCAAGCTGACAAGTCAACACGAGGATGATACTGATGAAAGCGACGATGAAGATTTCGATTTTAGAGAGCCAATGCGCTTCGAACAGATAACTAGAGAAGCAGATGTAAAAACATTTACGGGTCTACCATCGACAAAAGTGTTTAAATGTATCTTCGATCATTTAATTTCAAAAGCGCAACATATGCAATATTGGTGCGGACCAAAACAAACCACGAGAGAGCAGCCAAAGCAAGATGTACCGATAAATCGTCCAGGTCCGGGAAGGAAATTGGACTTTCAGCAACAGTTTTTGTTAACTTTAATGAAACTAAAACTTGGCCTGATAAATGAAGATCTTGCATTTAGATTTATGGTGTCATCAGCTACTGTCAGTAGTGTTTTTATAACATAGATTAAACTCATGTGTAAAGAGCTGTCTGTCTTGATTATATGGCCTAGCAAACAGCAAGTCAAGAGCATTCGGCCAGCATGTTTCAAGAAACTTTACCCAAAGGTTAGGTGTATCATAGATTGTTTTGAATGCTTTACTGAGACACCCAGTGGTTTAAACCTTGCTGCTGCACTTTGGAGCGAGTATTTATAAGCATCACTACACATGTAAAGTATTGGTAGCCATCACACCTACAGGTGCTATTTCATGTGTCACCAAGCTATGGGGGGAGAGCATCAGATGCTTATATAGTCAGAACCTGTGGTTTTTTTAATCTCATCGAGCCTTATGATGAGGTTATGGCTGATCGAGGCTTCAAAATCAAAGAGGATCTCATGATGTCCATGGCAACATTATGCATACCACCAAGTTGTGCAGCTTCAATGCAGATGTTGCCATCAGACGTGAGGAAAACATCAAACATTGCGAATGTACGAATATATGTTGAACAGGCCATTGGTCGAATCAGACTGTCTCGCATACTGAAACATGAACTACCAATCACCTTATTACCTCTAGTAGATGATATTGTTCGAGTATGTTGTGCCTTGTGTAATCTACTTACCTCTCTAGGAGAGTAACTCTGTACAGTATGAAGTGGATTGGTTTTCAGTAGAGTAAAATTGTAAATTATATACAAGCCTTTCATGTTTTGTGGAAAATGACTCTATGTTATTCTTTCAAGTCCAGTGATAGCTGTAATAACACTTAAGTTAAAAACAACACCAAAAAACTATTTTTATTAAAACAAATTTAACTTAGCATGGGAAAAGAGAGATAGTATAGTATAGTATAGTACAGTATATACAAAAATATATACTATAGTATAGTAAATACAAAAATGTTCATCAGATTTCCATGCTGGAATTATTACATTTTGAGTGTTTTTATTTATACTTATGCATTAAAAGTTATGAATAAATGGATACACTTACTTAACTGTGTGTTTGTTTTGTAATTCATTGGGAACAGCTTTTAAACACTAAATCAGTTGAACTTGTAATGTCTTCATGATTACTGCACCAAGCATGAACAGCCTTTTTACAAACAGAACAGATAGCATACACTACACAGGTTCAGATTGTCATCTAGATTTAAGTTACTAGTAGATGGTACGACTGTCTACTGCAGTAGTGAGATTGTGTGCCAAGTCAACAACGTTGCAAGAACTGCTCGCTATATAATTAATGTTCAACTCACTGTCACTGTCAGATGCATCATCAACATATGCGATATCACCAAGGCAACTGTAACAGGCCCACGATTCAATAGAATCAGCTACTTCCTCAGACAGGCCAGCACAAGGTAGGTGCCAATATGAATAGGCTTTCTGGTCCTTAAACTTCCCGATGTACTCAATATCTACTACTTTGACATTCAGAATGTAGCTAAAAGGAATACCATCGTCTATTTGGGGCCATTCTTGAACATTTTCTTGCCACGCGTCGTTTCTAAGTGTATTTGGGTCAGTGTCAATCTTGTGTTTTTTCAGTCTATTTTGGTACTTTTTTCAGTTTCTTCTTGATTTCCTCTTGTGAGAACTTTATTGGTACTTTAAGTTCATAAGCACCAAACGCTCCCGCAACTAGCTGTTTTTTTTTTTTTTTTAACCAGTTTGCTTCAATCCACGAAGCGCTTAAAGTCCTTAAGCGACGGAACGGTTCAGTGAACAAAGTCTTCGTATTCGAGTGTTTCCTCATCTTGTCTCGACATCGAATAGGACAAATAGTTGTGAATTACACTTAATACGGTCCTGTTTATATACAAGTGCAAGCTCAAAGCTATACAATTAAAAAAGATGACTGAATATTCGGAGAGAAAAGAGACATTCATCTTGTTTACGCACTATTGCTGTGTGTTTGAGCAGTTTGGCCGCGCGCTCGCCCCAATGTTTTTGCGCCCCCGGCAAGATGGCTACCATTAACCTTGAATCGGTCTATTTTAGAGCTTTGGATATATTATGATGAATTTAAATCCACAAGAGCAGTATATATTTTGGAATATTAAAACGTGATTGGCCTCCTTTTTTAAATCTAAGCTACCTGAAAGCCATTGATTATTTCAGCATCTTTAGGCATGGAAACAACACTTTCCCACGCGCGCCCTTTCGACAACACAGCGATTGTCACGTCTGGCTTGCGTGAGGGGATCACTTTTGGAAGATCGAACACCGATTTCCCGCGCCAAATTTCAAAGGAAACAGAAGAAATAACCGCTATCTCGCAAAAATAAGCCAAAGACAATTGAAACGCTCCTGCAAAAGTAAACGAAAGAAGAGAAAAGGAGAACTGAATACCTTTCGCACACAAAGCTTACTCAAGTACGGGTATTTGACTAGTCATTCTATTTGAGCTTTAGCAAAAAAGTTATACGCTTTTAACACATCGACCTACTAGCCTATGTGGTTCTTTGTAATTCGTGTAAGACAACTTTTTTCTGACAGCCTAGTTTCATTAATTAATTAAATTTAATTTATTAGCTTCGCCGACAGGCAGGGACCCAGCAACAGCTTGCGCCAATTACTGCAGGCCCAGTACCCACCCATCCCACTCCAGGGGAGGACATCCACCACACAGTGATCTCAACAGTCCGGCGCTCTGTCCGTTGAGCTAATCGGCGGTTAATAGCACTGACACCACTTACCCATAACAACGTTCGTACATGTGCAGACGTTCGGCCGCCGTGTATCCTTTCGACAGAATGCGCGCGTTAATGATGAACAGTCACAACTTTCACTCATAAGCGAAGTCGATCGTGTTTACTGTACAGTTGGTCGATACTCGACCGATATGTCGGTCGACGCTCGATCGACACTCGGTCGATAGTCGATAATCTCGACCGATATATTTTGACTATCGACCGTGTCTCGCCGAAAAGCACCACCAGTGCCGGACAAGGTCTGCTAGTCATGCGTCCAGCTGGCCACTCTTTCTCGGAAGGATCTAAGACTCCAGAAAACGGTGGAGTCGAGCCTAGTTTTAGAGTCAACACTACCTTAGCCTATAAATATCACTTTTGATCAGAATTTACATTCTTTGTTCTGAGAAATATCTCATGACTTCTTAGTTTCTTTCTCTCTTTCTTTAATTATTTTGGTTTGCAGGCGTTGAAGGGTCTTCATTAAAATTTTTTCTCCCGCCTTAGGGCTGAACTGCGCGAGTGCGAACAATTTCTTTCTTAATCTTTCGCCATTTCAAATTCAAGGCTATATCTTTCTGTTCTTGTTTCGAATCTTATAGCGTTCCAGTCGATCCAGCTTTATGCTGTAACAGAAAATACCCTTGCTGAGGATCGAGATTTGTGCTTACTCGGTGGTTTCACCAACGGTGTTACTGCAGTTTGCGCTCCTGAACACTCAGTGTTTGTCTCCAAATAGTTTCTTGATTTGAGGCTGTACACGATCGAATTTTTGTTGAGTGAGGTATTTTCACTGTACAAATCAGAGTGCCCCTTGCTAGGGAACGGGGCAAATACTTATTTGGCCGCTTCTGGGGGTGGTCTTGAACTGAATTTTTAAATTTAACCCGAAAGTTAATCGAATTCAACCGCTCGAACTCGAACTTAAATCTAAACTCAAGCATTCCTTATTCCCCTTTTCTTATCACTGATTCAGTTAGTTTTTATTGATAAAGAGAAAAGAGAAAGGTAGTATAGATACGCAGAGCTCAACCCTTTGCGGACAGTCTGAAATCACCGAAACATGTCGGTTCAATATTTTGTTCGTAAACAACAAATCAAATACCTTACCCAGGCTCCAGTTTATCCGTTGGTGTAAAGCTGATCGCGACGATTAAGCTCTCCAGCAAAGCTTCTTGAAGATGAACCATAAGCAGTTTTGTGACCACGAAGACCTAAAACCGAGATGGATTTCTATAAACCTTTGTTGTCGTGCTTCAATAACTTTGTAGATACTTGCGTTCTAATAAAGAAACATTACTTATTGGAAACCGAAAAAGCTTATGACATGTATTTTCGAGAAAGACATCTTGCAAATCATATTTGCGTTTTCTCAAAATAGCTAGACGTACATGATCAGGAACTGTCAACAACTTATAGGGCGTTGTTTACTTTCAACGATAATAAAATTTTTCTAATTTGAATATATCAGCAAAGTTGAAATGATAAAATGGCCACAGGAACTGTGGGTTGTGTGTGTTTTTAAAGGCAGAAAATGGAGCTACATGATTGGTGGGGACATGGCAACGCGAAAAACACGAGATAAATTGGTGGAATGAAAAGCGTTCGTTGATACCTGTGGGATTTGAACGGCCGGTTTGAAAGATGAGCTTTTGTTCTAGAGTTTTCCGGCTTTCCGTGCTACCTAAGTGTAAGGAAAGACCGCAGATTGCCATGTGTTGCTTAGAATGATTAGGTAAATTAAAATGTCTAGCGACTGGTTTCGATGTGTCCTTGTCATTCCTGTCCACGTCGCGAAGGTGTTCTCGGAAACGGTCCCCTAGTCTCCTGCCTGTTTCGCCGATGTAAATCTTTTTGCAATAAGTGCAAGTGATGCAATAGATTAAATTGGAGGAGGTGCACGTGAAGTGATCGGTGATCTTAATGGTTCGTTTGGGTCCCGATATTTTCTGTGTTGTGAATGAAAGGACAAGTTTTGCATCGTGCACGAGCGCATTTAAAAGTGCCTGGTTGGTCATTAGTCTGAAAAGAACTTCTGACCAAAACGGTGGTCATTTTACTTTTTCAACTTTGTTGATATATTCAAATTATTTCGTTACCCCCACCAACGTAGCCCCAAACAATTTCTTTAGAAACTATCAGCCTTTAATAAAATTTTTACCTTTGTTTTGTAAATTCTGGGAATTGAACACTTTACCACTGACAAATGCATTTTGGAATGCTCGAGATTCAATGTTCTAAAATTTCAGAGCACTTAAACCAAATTGTTTGCCCTGTCAGCCTAATTTCACAAAGTAAGGGAAAAACCCCTAATTGACCGTGACTATTTTCGAGCAAACCTCCGAAGCTAGGGGGAATAAAACAAAAGAAATTAATTATTCGCCTTCGTCTAACCAACAAAAAAAACACACCTTCCAATCTGTTATGTCAGTTTCTGAGTACTGTGCTTATCAACAACATGCCAAGTCGTAGTAACTTCCCTGACAGCTTGTTGCGCAAGTTGAGCGCGATCGCTGCCTTTGTCCGTGTTCAAAATTGATAAACAACTTGATTTTCTTAAAAACATATTTTACCATGAAGCAATTGTTGGTCCCACTTTGATGCCCAAAGCGAGTTCTATTTGTCTTTGAAATTTGTTAGAATGGAAACTATTCTGCTACTTAACATTTGCCATGGCGAGTGAAACATTTATTTATTTAGCAACTAAAATTTCAACCAAAAGATTTCAAACGAGTGAAGCTTGAACAATTATCAGAGCCTTCTTGTTCAGCAAGGTCGTTTAGCGAGCCGGCGACGACTAAGTCATCCGCTGACTAGTTTCGCTGTCTAAACTCATTTACTGTAGTCGGTTCAGGCGTGACCTCAGTTTTTGCCTGGCACGACTTCTACTTTCCTGCACACTTGTAACATTGCGTGATTTTCGAAACGTGACATGCAGTTGCTGCATTATTTTAAAACTTAGACTCTACATGGCCCTGTTTAATTTAAGAGGGCTTCATTTACAAGCATTCAATGATCAACTTTAGAAGAACCTAATAAAAAGCGCTTTCAATTTTAGCTGAGTTTAGAAATTATTTAGCCAAAACGGAAAAAAAATTATTAAACGCATAAGCTAGAGCCATTCCTATGGGGGTGAAATACAGGAATGGCTCCAGTCTCTGGTCGTCCACCTGAACTGAGACTTGCACACCGACTAAGCGACTACGCGAGTTTAGTCAGCGAAACTAGTCAGCGGATGACTTAGTCATCGCCGGAATATCGCTGAACGACCTAGCTGAACAAGAAAGGCTCTGTCTTCCCTTCATTATGTAAGTAGCCATTTGTTGTTTGACATATCGGTGTTTTCACTCACACTGATATTTCATTGTTCCGCTTCGAGACACACGATTAAACAATACTTCACAAGTAAGGAGTTAAGATGTAACTTGTTAACTTTTACTATTTTTTATCCTCCAACCCTGGTTTAGGCTGGTCACGTGTCTCCCAGATTTTAGGAGATTTCAAATTAGCGGTTTGAGGGAGGGGCAGCTAAGTGAGATTTTCGTTCTTACTTAATCTTTAATAAAGGTATTCAAAGGCGAAACAACATAAACAACTGGATGAAATGACAAGGAAGGTACAGGTCGTTGACTGTTTAACTTCTGGAAGAAGATGAAAAATCAAAGATTTACCGTATCCCGTCGGTATTAAAAACGGCCACAACATCTCTGCCCGAATATATCGCTTTTAAACACAGGACTTGTTTGGGTTTTAAATTAAGGTTACAATACCAACTCCCAGATATAGCGACTTGAAGGCTGCTATAAAACATGGCGACCTGAACAACGATAGCGTCGATTTGAAGATGACAAAGGATATGGCAAAAATCGAGCAAACAAGGAATTTTTTTGCTGTCTAAACACGTGACCAGCCTAAACCAGGGTTTCTCCTCGCTCGCTCCAGGGGGCGGGAAGATGAGAGACCCTGGGAAGGAGGTTGCCAATTACAGGTCAGAGCCATTCCTGTATTTAGTCGTATTTTACTCGGCCTTATTTCCGAAGGAAACGTCCGAGGTATAAATTCTGCTGGGTTTTTTTTTTTTTTTTGCGTTCGGTCACAAAACGCAGTCCCACTACAACGCATGCGTAAAATGTAAGCGCGCGCGTAGAATGAACCCTAGAGCGCTTAGTTTAGAGCAAGAAAGCAAATGGCTGCCCTCGTGGACAGCCATTTGATGTACCCGAAAGAAATTTGATGGCTATTGCGCCCAATGTATATACAAGGTCACACACCGTTCGCGGTAGAACCGCACTAAAAGTTGTGGAGCGATTTGGGAACGGGTCGTTCCGCGAACTTTACGAGCGATCCTTTACGAGTGACCCTTTTATCGAGAAATATTAAGCGAAACCTACTATATCAAACGAGTTGTCATATTATGTTAACATGTAAACACAACCGTGTACTTAGACGTCATCAAGAACCCAGTAGAATACCAGAAGCTACTCTGAAACGTCTCAGAAGAAAGGGCAGAAAACTGAAGGAATTTGTTTATGAGCGTATTCGTCCAGGCATACCGAAGTCCTCTTGGCTACGTCGTTATGTGAAGGTTAAAAGAGTTACAAAGAATATTGTGTAAGCTTAATACGAAGACGGTAAGATTAAATAAAGTTACAAAACATGATAAGAAGTATTTATTGAATTGTTCAGTGAGGGTATATCAGAGGATAATGAGATTGAAGTATAGGGCAAGGTGGTATTTATCAATGTTTTCTTGTAATAGACCCCTGTGTCTTTATAAGAGTCAGACACACGCATCAAACTGTTGTAAATTTCAACTGAGTTCAGATGTTGTGAAAAATCCTGGTCCTACTCCAATGTACCTTGACCCTAGCAAAACAATAATGGTACCATATAGTCAAGCTAATGAATTGATACTTAGACAAAATTCATGAACAATATGTTGCAATGAGTTTTTGCTCTTTGATTTACAATAACAAACAAGGAATCAATTCTGCTAATGATCTCGTGTCAATAATGAGTATTGGAAATCAGTTCTATTCATGTTGGTCTCAGTTGACCAGAAATCATTTTTAATGCAGACAGAGTTACCCACATTTTTATATGTTAGAGACTGATTATGAACTTCAAGACAGTGAGAGCTACATTGGTACTATTCATCAAGAAACTACAATAGAAGGATATCAGTACTGTACCTCCATAGATAGAGCCTTTCAATCACTTATACCTGAAAGTTGCAACAATTTTGTCGATGCCTGTACAACCAGAAAGTTCGATGTGAGTTATGCTGTTGCTGTCTATTCACTCTGCCACCCCGTAATAAAATCATGTAGTTATTGGAATTCAAATCCCTTATCTAATGTTATTCAGTATGGCAAAAGATTATAAGAAAATTCATCTTTAAACAAGTATTTACTATAAAATGATTTGCCAAAAACTGTTGATGTTTGTGGAACTGAATTAAGTTTAGATCCTAAAAGTGATTACTGTGAAGGAATATTGTCTGATTCAGTTGACAGCAAATCAATTCTCGAAAATCTTGTAGGAAACAATAGTGAATGCACAAGGGTTTTGATACGGTTTTCAGTTTTTTGTATGACATGTATTTTTAAACCCACAAAAAGGTCAAAATATGTGTATTCCCTCTTGATATTCAATGAAAGTCAAATGCCTCTAATTTAATATACTAAAACTGTAAATAGCACTGCTTCTCTTGTTGTAGCCCTCAGTAATATTCAATATTCAGATATTTTCCTGCTAAAAACAACATGAATTATTGAGCAGTAATAATGCTTCAATCTACTGATTTCTGACCACTCCCCTTGCGTGAACATTTGGCAACAAACTATGATGACTTGGCACCTATAATAGATAAAAAATTCCCTTCTCCTTGCAGATAAAGGCAAATAAATTACCTACTCAGGGTTCGTAAAAGTCTTGAAAGTCCTCGAAGATGCTTGAATTTAATAGTAAAATATTCAATGCCTTGACAGTACTTGAATTTGAGGACTAGGGGTTGATTTTTGCAATGCTTTTTCTTTAGCGATTTTCAAATCTGAGAAATAATTTTAAATAATTTTAAAATTGCTTGAGCAAAGCTTTCCAAAAGTGGTCCTTCAATATTCTAACACTTGGCTGGCCTACAAAGTCATTGAAAAGTCTTACAGATGGCAAAGGTTGAAATTTAAGGAACCTACTCCTATATGTTAATATTATT